TCTTTTAAACTCTTTAGGTCCTAGATTATTTCTTGTACTATACCAATATAATTCTTGTTATAAGAATACGTTTATATCCTTTAGCGCCCCGACCCTAACTATACCTTGTATCGAAATTCTTCTTAAGTATCCCTCCCTTCTGAAAAAAAGAAAAAGCCTCAAACTTAAACTAACGAAATAAGCTAAGATTCTTAGACCTTCCGAACCTTTACTCACGGCCCGCCCTTCCTTCAATAGGTAACTTGGAAAATAAATCTAAGTCTTAGACAAAGATTGACTTCCGCCTCCGCATTCATCTTGAAGATAGCACCTACGCCCATCCTAGAATAGGTAACGTGGAAAGTAAATCTAAGTAGTAAGTCTCAGACAAAGATTGACTTCCGCCTCCGCATTTATTGTGAAGATACTTCGAAGTAGTACCAACCCAAACTTAAACTGCTCCGAAGCTATAGAACCTTAAAAACACCAATCTTTTCATGCTTAAGTTAAAGCATCTAAGCGAATTTAGCTCGAGGTCCGCTTTCTTGTTTACCCGCGATCAGATATCTGCTAGTAGGGTGGACGGGAGACGATGGCAAGAGATACTTCGTCCTAGGCGAGATAAATGTAACTTTTCTAGGGTCACCAAGGTTGGAAATAGGGTAAACCCCCTGGAAAAGTTACATTTATTTCGTCTGGGACAAAGTATAAGAATAAAAGTTGATGTCAAAGTCTTAGTCCATGTATTCTCCCAGCGATCTATGATACCTGAGAGCTAAATTCCTAGGAGGATATCTGGAGATGATGATTACTACAAGTTAAGTGCTGCGTAATGACCATAATTCACGGGCTTTTTAAGAAAATAAGAGAAGCGAGCCGAGACCATAGTTATAGAGATTGAAATTAGAAAGCATCAAAGTAAGAAAAGCGAACATATAACTTCTACCTCGAATCTAAACAAATCCCAAGCCTTCATTGCCAGTTGAGATTTTCCTAAAGAATTAGTATATTTATTCACCAGTGATGGAGGTATTTAAATGTACTACGGATCAACTCAAGTAACAAAGTTAGAATCACAGTTAATAATATAAATAACCCCGTGATAACATACACGCCACATAATCCTCTTGATCCTCCTAAATATACATTTCTTCCGTTTAAACCAGGTTCATACAAATTTCGCAAACTTGAAAAATAAAACCTTCATCTGAACGAACACCATCCGTCGACTTCCCATCTACCCTCGATTTCCATTCTCCGTTCGTTCGTTTGTTCGTTCGTTCATTAGTGAGTTCTTTACTTACTGGGGAGGGCTGGGTTGAGCTGGGTTGGACTGTGTTAGGCTGGATATAAACGGTAAACGACAAAAATGCCAACCCAATGCATTCCGTTCCTCTCGGTCGCACAAGATATCGACCAACTCTATGTAAAAGAGTCTAGTCTCTGTTGTCAGGATTATACTAACCAGTTATTTCCACCACATGGGCCATATAAGCCAGGCTCCTGTCCATAGTATGTACTTACTTGTAGCTCGCTAGTCATCTGAATACAACCCTTCTGGCACCCTGGCCTTCCATATTCCTAGCAACAGTCTCTACCACCTGCGCCAATCGCTTTGGCGAGGCTTTCTCGTGCCTATTCGGTCCTAGTATCGTTCCAAGTGCCCAAACGATAAGAAATGAAATAACACAGAAGAATATATATTTATATTTATTTATTGCTATTTAACGTCAAGCGGAGTCTAGCTCGCGTGGGCTAGGTCCTAGAAGGGTCCCAATATGGGCAAATGACGCTAGGGGGGTGCCCTAGGCTACAGGGGGTGTAAAAGAAGAGACGTTAATTTACAAGAGACAGTTTAAAGAGAAGCCCCACTTTCGGGACAGCCCTTATCCTTAATTAGTTTTGAGAACCAGGGTACAACAAGTGAAATACATAAATCAAAGAAAGAAAGAAAAGTAGGCCAGCCTATCTAGGTAGACAAATCTTAGTGAAGAATCTAGTCTTAAAGTAGACCTTATTAAATAGCTCCTCGCAGCCGGGGCCGAAGAGCAGCTGAGGGTTCCTCTGAGCTTCTGCTAGTAGCCTAAGGGCTACGTTGTTTGCTAGCCTACAAAAGAGTAGGTGGAATTGAGACTTAGACTTCTTACACTTACAATCCCCTGAGGTAAGTAATGCGTCGAAGTGAAAGAAGCGAAGGTGGTAAGCGACAAAGTCTCCATGCCCAGAACGAGCAGCTATTAAGCGAGCTAGAACCTCTCTTGGTAATTGAAGAGACCGTGGCTTCAAAGACCAAATTTCAAGCCCCAGATCCTTATAGACAGCCGGGAGTGTAGCGCTCCAGAGCTTCTTTGCAAGTCCAATCCCTGTTTCTTTAACCCCCCTCTAGAGCGTAGCAGTACAAAGTGGAGAGAGGGAATTAGAAGGGGGTATCCGCGCTGCTTTCCCAGCAGCTCTGTCCGCGATTTCATTGCCTAGGATACCTATGTGACTAGGG